ATTGCATTGAGTGCCCATCACCCAAATTCCAGTCCCCTTCTGTCACCATGTATTTAACCTTCTTTACCCTTTCCTACCCCTCAGCTCCCTTCCTTCTGGTAAACACCATACTGTTGCCCGTGTCTATGAGTTTTTGTTTGTCTTGTTCGTTCATTTGTTGTTTCCAGTTTTATATCCCACATATGAGTGAAATCATATGGTTCTTGATTTTTTTCTGACTGATTTATTTCACTTAGCATGTTATTCTCAAGATCCATCCATGTTGTTGCATATGGTGGCATTTCATCTTTTCTTATGGCTGAGTAGTATTCTATTGTATACATATATGTATTACATCTGCTTTTTTAATGCTGTTTCCTCTGCCTGCAATACTCTTCTCAATTCTTTTCATCAAGTTAACTATTTTTCATCCTTCCAAGTTTAACTAAAGCATCATTTCTTCCAGTAGCCCTCTTCAGACCACCATATTGCTCTCATTGCCTCTGCTTCTTTGAGTTCCTGTACACATTAAGCATACCTCTCTTACCCTTTATCAAATGAGATTGAAATCCTCTGTTAGTGATTTCTCACTTCGGTTTGTGAGCAACCTGCTCATTTTATTCATCTTGTACCCTTAGCATCTAGCATGATGATTAGTGTTACAATGGTGCTCAGTGTTGGTTGAATAGATTATTTAAATTGAACATATCATGCTCATTTCTGTCTCTGCCATACTTGATACTGTTTTTATCCCCTGGAATTCCCTTATCTGCTTTTCTTATATTTCAAATCCTTCTTGTCCTCCAACATTTATCACAATTTCCCTCACTGCTCTAGATCTTGGTATTATCCTCCTTCTCTGATTTTTCACAGGGTTTATAATTTATTGACAATTGCATCAACAAAGTCCATGAATTGAATTAGCCTCCTTGAGACAAAGACTTACATTTTATTCTGCAATATCCTTCTCAGTGCTTTATATGGTAATGACTACATAGTTTTTCTCAATTAATATTTTCTAATAGTTTTTTGAGAGGCAGTGTCAACTGTAGAGAAATAAGCATAGATTCAGAGACATGTTTAAAGTCACTTTAAACATGTTGGTAACTCAGATTCTTCAGGTATAAAATGAAAATGAGGATACTTCACAGATTGAGAAAGGATGAAATAAAGCAATATATACAATATCCATCACAGAATAGATCCTCAACAAATGTTACTTTTTATTTTAATTTTAACATTTTTATTTTTTATTTTTTTTTTTTTTTAGAAAGAAGAAGGGAAAGAGAGATAGAAACATCGATGTGAGAGAGAAACATCAATTGGCTGCCTCCTGTATGCCCCCTACTGAGGATCAAGCCCACAACCCGGGCATGTGCCCTGACCAGGAATCAAACCGGGACACCTCAGTCCTTGGTATGACGTTCAGTCCACTGAGCCACACTGGTCAGGCAACAAATGTTAGGTTTTTAAAATATTTTGTTTTTCTGTCATAAGATTTTAAAAAATAAAATAAACGAGTAAATTAGACATTTAAAAAAATTTATTCATAAGCTAAATCCCATATTAAGTTGAATTTTTGTTTACATGTAGCTCTCAATGGATTTTTCCTCATTTAAAACATTAGACCTATGTTTCTCATCCTTGACTACATATTAGAATAATACAGGGAGCTTTTAGAAATTCCAGTGCTCAGACCATCCCTCAAATCAATTAAATTATAATCCCTGGAACCTACACATTAATATTTTGTTTTCTCTTTTTTAACTCCCCAAGTGGTTACAATCTAGAGACAACATTGAGAATCACAACGTTAGCCTATAAAGATGTGCACTTCCCTAATCTATGCTTTGAATACAAAGACCTTAATCAAAAGAGTTATGAGATTAGGCTGTGATTAGGAGAAATGTGCACCCCACAAGTGGGTATGGAAGATTCTGAAAGGTACAAAATGTAAAGAAACTTGAATTTCTGGGTGAAGTCACAAACAAGGAATCCTAGCAGGGCTGAGGGCTGCAAAGCTGGACAGGGCTAAGGAAAAGATTCAGATAGTGGGGTGGAGAGCATAAGAAATACATGGAGTCAGGTTCCAGGAGGATTAGACCAGGAATTTTTATCTCAGGGCCAATAAATAGGCTTTATGTCTTCACAGAAAGTGTTTACACCATTTTTATATATTATTTTCTGAGATATCTTAGAAAAAGATAAGGATTATCACTGTGGCATAATAGTATTGAGACCACAGTTTCAGAACTGCCTCTGGATCTTTCATATGTGACCTGAAACTCCTCTAAACTCTTGTTATTATCTATAATATAATCTGATGTAATTTTTTTCAATTTTTATTAATTTATTTTTGTTACAGATGTATCTGCTTTTCCTCCCAGATACCCTTCTGTTTATCCTGACCCCCCACACCACTGCATTGTTGTCTATGTTCATTGGTTATGCACACATACATATAAGTTCTTTGGTTTATCTCCTTCATCCCCCTCACCCCCCTACCCTGAGGTTTGTCAGTCTGAACCATACTCCTTTCTATGTCTCTGGGTCTGTTTTGTTCATCAGCTAACCTCGTTCATTATATTCTACAAAAAAATGAGATTATGTGGTATTTCTCTTTCTCTGATTGGCTTATTTCACTTAGCATAATACTCTCGAGTTCCCTCCATGTTGTCTCAAAGGATAAGAGATCTTTCTTTCTTACAGCTACACAGTATTCCGTTGTCTATATGTACCACAGCTTTTTTATCCACTCATCTATTGATGGACACTTGGGCTGTTTCCAGATCTTAGCTATTGTAAATAGTGCTGCTATGAACATAGGGGTACATATATTCTTTCTGATTGGTGTTTCGGGTTTCTTAGGATATATTCCTAGAAGTGGGATCACTGGGTCAAATGGCAATTTAATTTTTAATTTTTTGAGGAAACACCATACTGTTTTCTGTAGTGGCTGCACCAGTCTGCATTCCCACCAGCTGATGTAATTTTTGAAGAAACAAAGTAGGAACTGAAGAAAACATTATATACCATATGCTTTATAAGCACTAAACAAATATGTAAAACCTCTGAAATATAATCCGAGTTTATAATTATAATGAAGATCATTGGCTTGATAGTCTAGGGTAGTGGTGTTCAACAATGACTGCACAGAAAAATAATCTGGAATGCTTTCAAAAAAGCCTTGTTCCACTCCTAGAGATTCTATTTTAATGGGTCTGATGTAGACTGTAACATGAAAAGTTTTAAAGTTCTCCATGTGGTTCTAATGTAAAAGTATCATTGAGAAACACTAATTTAGAAGAAATTGGGACTCCTGCTTATCTTGCATAACGTGAATGCCCTCAAAATGTATGGTACTGGCCAAGCAAATCTGACCCTTAATTTCTACACCTGTTTAATAAGGATAGTAATAATTTCCTGAAAAGCATTGTTGTGAGCATGAAGAGTTCTGAATTTAATCTTTAGCTTTCAAGGAGTCCAGAATCTTCAGAGTTCATCAGCCTCAAATCAGGGACTCACCAACTTCAGACAGAGTTGGAAGATGCTGATAAATAACTAAGGAACGGAAAGTATTCCCTTAGTGCATTTCTTACATTCTCTGATTACTGCTACCTGGGTATTATTAAAATACAAATTCCCTGCCCCAGAAATAGCAAATCATGTTCTCCAGAGGAAGGGCCTGGAGATCTCCATTTTTAACTAATATCCTAATTGTTCATATGGAGAATAATACAATACTTAATAAATAATAATACAATAATAAACTCATGTTTTGCAGACTCACAACTGTAAACCTACTTTTGTCCCACACTTTATATATTTTCAGTTCTCAGGATTAAAAAAAAAAAAGATATCATCTAGTGTATCCTCTTTTTGGTATCAGATAATGTGGGGGAAACCAAATTATAATCATAAAGTAACGTTGTAAGCACAAAATGATAGCACAAGGAGAGAAGATATTTTTACGGAATCACTCATTCAAACTGTGGCGTAACTTGGGTCCATCATAGAGTTATGTGTCAAGAGTGAGCGGAATCCTCATGTCTTCAAAGTCAGTATCTTTCTTTCCCCTTGCTGGTGGTTTCCTATTTCTATGAATAAACTTTGCTTGAGAAAGGTCAATATACTTAGTAATGATTATTTTAACATCATTTAAATGATTAAGTTGCTGTTTGATTTCAAAGATAAACTTGCTTGACCCTAAAATCTCTGCAGCCACCAATTTATTGCCTTTTTAAGTTGGGATTGCTATTATATTTGGCTTATGAAATTTATTAATATGTTTCTTCTGACCTAAGAGAAAATGGAAGGATCATAAGATTAATAAAATAAAAATTAATGTATCCTATTTATAATTCTACTTAAGAAGCAGAATAGAGAGGTAGCTAGTATAACTATTCTGTAGCTCTTGACTCTTTTGAAGTAACTAGTAGTTTTGTTTTAGAATTTCGATTTCAGCTTTTGTCCTGAGAGTAGGTCTCACTAAACCGCTCTCCTTTTTAAAATCTATCTGTGGAAAGTACTTTTGGTAAACTAATATACTACAGAGATTTCAGGTAAGAGAGTATAAATTTGCTTTTGCTTATATTTAAACTTTTGGAATGTTTCAGGTTTTGGTTGGGTTTAAAGAGAATTGGGGGCAAACAAAAAGAGGTTGGTTGAGGGGTTAAGAGGCAAAGGTTCATTAGGCATGCTAAATTTAAGGTCTCTACTGCACTCGCACATAGAAACAATAAGCAGGCAAATAGCAGAATTTTAGGAAAGAGGTGAAGGCTAGAGAAGCAACGTGGTATTGTATAAATAATTCTGGGCTTTAAATGAAGAGACATGAGTTCTGAGAGGCTATCTCTATTATTAACTGGCTCTGTGACTTTGGCCAGTCACTTGACCTCTCTGGGCCTTATCTTTAAATTGGGAAACTTCAAGTAGATGATGTCTAGTAAACTACTGTCTAGCTATGTGATGCTAAGCGTATCCATATTGACCTTCTTAACTTGACCTCTCTGTTTTTTCAGCATCTAATACAAGAACCTACATCTGTCATATTTGTAATATCACCTTTACATCATTAGAAATATTCCGGTCCCATATGCAAGGAAGTGAACATCAAATTAAGTAAGTATTTTTTTTTGCCAAAATGCTCCTGTGACACCAAAGACCAGGGATTCTGTCAAGTACCCTTACAAGTATTTTACAAATTTTCTAATCATTTATTTCCCTATGAGTTAATCCTGTATGTAGTTGGTGGTATTTGTAACATATTTCATGCTTGTAACATCCTCTGGGAAGTTCTCTAACCATGATAGTATATTGGCAGAGCTGGCTAACTGGCACTCCTCCTTTCCAGACATCACTGATTTTCTTTGGAGAGATGTTAAAGGCTCATTATCTGGCTAATAATACAAATTCAAATAATCTCTGATAGGTTGGTTCCAGAGATTCAGTGATCTGGTTATCATCTTTCCAGTGAAGTATAGTGGTTAATAACAAAGGTCTTGCTGTTAGAGAGACCCGGACTGGAATACCAGATCTATCTTTCTATCAAGTATGTAACTTTGGACAGCTGTTATATATAATGAAATATAAAAATATGTGTAAGGTGCCTGGCCTGGAACATAGTAGGAGCTCAATAAATGTTTATTCCATTCTATTCTATTATTTAAGGAAGAGAAGATTGAGTGGACATTCAGAGACTGGATAAGTCAGCAGGACAGAGAGGCACTTAACTATTGTACATTAGTTTGTTGCTTATATTTTTTTATCTTTATTTTTGAAAGTATTACAGATGTCCCTCTTTTTTCTCCCATTGACACCCTCCTTCCCACTACCCCCATCCCTGCCTTTACCACATTGTTGTCTGTGTCCATTGGTTATGCATGTATGCATATGAGTTCTTTGGTTTATCTCTTCCCACTCCCCAACCCCTGTTCCCTCTGAGGTTTGTCAATCTGTTCTGACCTCCATGTCTCTGGATCTATTTTAATCAAAGCATAATATTACATTATTTTATTGTAGTAGAAAATACACTATTGAGTCTGAATACTTACGAGCTAAATTGAGTCACCAAATTAACCTTCATTTAGACTTCTAAAAAAATCTCAGGGTTCTAGAATAAATAACTATCACATTTAAAATATTTATACAAGAAATTAACTAACCAAAACTTTTTAAACAATGTGATATTCAGATGAGACCATCTTCAGGGCGTTAAATATTATTGGTCCTTTCCCACACATCCCAGCTTGTCTTACATTTTAAGTACTACAACAGTATCAGATAAGTCTGCTTCTTTATAACCATCTTTCCAGGTCTGAAAATGTTTTTATTTGTAAAATATTAAGAAGTACCTGGGACATATATGACCATTCTTGCTGCTTTTTTGGCATAAAATGTCATGATTTATAGCTTTCATATTTAGGCAGGTTTTTAAAGTTTGTTTGGGCTTTTTGTTTCTTTGTTTGTTTTCAGACTAATCTCTTTGAAAGCACAGAAAATATTCTGAATACAATAATCTAGTAACAAGAACTTTCTACTATCTTCATTGCAGAGAATCCATTATTGTCAATCTAGTGAAGAATTCAAAGAAAACACAAGACTCTTTCCAAGATGAAAGTGCAGATTACATCAAAGAGCAGAAAGTTAGAGAACCAGAGCCCAAGACTTGTTTCAGAAAGGTGGAAGAGAGTTCTTTGGAAACCCATGGGTACAGAAAAGTGGCTGATTCACGATCCAGACATAGACTATATGAACAAAGACACCCACGGGAGACTTTCCAGACATATCCAGAATCATACAAAATTTCGCAAACAGTGGAAAACCAGTTACCTCATTACTTACCAGCTTATTCAAAGAAGACATATGACTCTTTCCAAGATGAACTGGAAGATTATATCAAAGTGCAGAAAGCCAGAGGATTACATCCGAAGACTTGTTTCAGAAAGATAAGAGAAAACTCTATGGAAACTCAAGAGTACAAAGAAGTTGATTCTGGACCCAAACAAAGAATGTATGAGCAAAGATTTTCAGTTCACACTTCCCATACCTACCAACGACCATACAGTATTTCACCAGTGGAAAGCCAGTTACACCATTGGTTACCAGCTTATTCAAAGAGGACATATGATTCTTTCCAAGATGAACTTGAAGATTACATAAAAGTGCAGAAAGCCAGAGGACTACATCCAAAAACTTGTTTCAGAAAGATAAGTGATAGCTCTACGGAAACCCTTAAGTACAGAGAAATGGTTGATTCGAGACCCAGACATAGAATGTCTGAGCAAAGACTCCCATTTGAGACTTTCCAGACCTACCCAGAATCATACAATATTTCACAAGCAGTGGAAAATCAGTTACCTCAATTCTTACCAGCTCATGACAGCAAACAGAAACTAGACTCTATGGCCTATTGTCAACTCACCAGAGACTATTTTCCAGAAAAACCAGTACCCCTAAGCCTTAGTCAGCAAGGAAATAACTCTGGCTTATACAGTGTAGAATCTGAAGTTTACAAGCACCTCTCCTCAGAAAACAATACCAGTGATCCTCAAGCGGGTCATAAACGGAGACATCAGAAGAGAAGAAGGCACCTGGAGGAAGGTGAACAAAAGCCAGAGAAAGAGCAGTCCAGGCATAAAAAGAAAAAAAGTGATGGGGATATGGATCTAGACAAGGACAAGAGCATCCAACAAAAGAAAAGAGAAGGAGATAAAGTCAGTGTCAGTTCAGGAAAGCTTAAGCACCGAAAAAAGAAAAAAAGCCATGGTATACCCTCTACAAAAGAAGAACGTAAGCACAGGAAAGAGAAAAAGAAATCTGTAGAAGAAAAGACAGAGGAGGAAATGCTTTGGGATGAGTCTATTCTTGGATTTTGAACTATTAGTTTTATTTATCCAAAGATACATTGAAGACATATTATAAGAATATGGATTTAGGAAAAGAAATATTCAGTGGAGAAAAAGAGAGATGGATACAGTCAGTATCTGTTCAGGAAAGCTTTTTTTTGTGTGTGTAAAAATTGAAATTGAATTAAATGAAGAAACAAACAAGCCTAAACCTAGCCTCTGAAAAAAGAACATAAGAACAAAACAAGAACATAAGACAAAAGCAAACCTGTTGAAGAAAAGAAAGAACAGTCAATGCTTTGGGATGAGTCTGTTCTAAGAATTTGAACTTTTAATATTGTTTATCCAAAGATGAAGAAGTTAGTTAAGAAAATTGATATAGACAAAAGAGCATTAAGTGAAGAAAAGGAGAGGTGGGTATAGTCAGTGTCGGTTCAGGAAAGCTTAGTTTTTTTGTGTGTGTGTAAAAATAGAATAAAGTAAAAGAAGAAATAAGCAAGCCTAAATATAGTTTCTAAGAAAGAACATACAAAGAGGACAAGAACATAAGAGAAAAAGAAACTTGCTGAAGAAAAGACAAAAGAGTTATTCTTTGGGACAAGTCTACTCTTGGATTTTGAACATTTTAGTTTTGTTACCTTAAGGTTGAATTTAAGAAACAAATTGAAGAGTTTGGTTTCATGAAATTCATGTTATTTGAATTTTCCTAAGTGACTTTAACCTCTAACTAAAGCCAAGTGAAGTAAAAGTATTCAATATGCCTTTTTGTCAAGTTACTTTTCCTCATTTTCTTTAAAAAAGAGAGAAATTACATATTTCTTACATATAATATAATTTCCCTTAATGCGGTTGTCTCTATTTCTATTCATCAAATTGCTGTGATGATGAATTATTTACCCATGGGAGATAAATTTATTTTAAGTGAAAGAATTACCAGGCATTACAAAATCCATTATTTGTTTGGGTTTGTGTTAGTGTTGGTGGTATATTATTGTTCTTGTGTGTTTGTTTATGTTTCTTGATTTTTCTCCAAGAAAAATGTATGAAGAGATTTAGACTGATTTTTTGTTTGTTAAATCTAATTTGCAGTGTATTTTTGTATTTTATAGTTCTGAAAGTGGAAAATGAAACAGTCTATAATAATCTTAGATGATATATAGTTTTAAAAGTACTGATACAAAATCAGTCTATATTCTGGAAATGTTTATATTATATTAAAGTGTTTTAATTTCTACATAATGTTTTATGTAAATGATCATTTCCAGCCAAAGATGATTTTATTTTGGGGGTGAGAGGAAATAATTAAACAGTTTTCAACCTCTGGGGAGATCACATTATAAGTTGTAATAATTTTATTTCTTCTATGGCTTGCTTAGTAGAAACTGATATGCAGATGAGCTCAGTCTTAAGTTAGAGAAATATGATTACATACTTGAAATTGAAGAAGGAATAATTTATAAGTGGGAGAGGGCTGTGAAGGTGCATTACCTTTAAAGTGTTTCATTTTGATTATTTTTTTACTCTAGTTCTCCCTTTTTTATGAAACGCACCTCCTGTAAGTATTTGGACATCACCATAATATAGAGGGAGTAATAGCCTGGGAATCCGAATCTCAGGATTCTGGTATCAGTTTACCATCAAGTTTCTGTGTGACCTTGTGGGAATATCATCAGAATTCAACATGGAATCATCAGGAACAGGAAAAAATAGGCTATAGTATTCATTTGATGTGTTAATCCTATCAATAAATAAATAAATTTAGATGGTAGTGTATCTGCACTTAGCCAAGACATTTAATAATTGGCTTTTCTTGAGATTTGAATAAAATGGTAAATATGAGCTGAAGCATATGACTGGTTGGGTTTATACCTGGTAGAATGAAGAGTCCAAAGGGGATTAGATGGTCCACAAGTTAATTTTATTCCACAAGGCTCTAGGTATATGATTATTGGTAATATAATATCACTTTCACTGTTTTTAACACCTTTTGTGTACTGGAGAAAAGGGGAAAGAAGAACCAGAGTCAAGCAAATAGACTGTCAATGAGCCACAAAAAATGGCAAATTCTCTTTTCCAAACATGCCAAAAAGGCAACATTTTTTTTCACAAAAATATGTGAGACAAGATAAATTGAATTGTAAGCATTTTTAAAATTGATAAATTATTTTACACAAGTCCATTTTGTGTTTAAAGCTGCGGGGTGGGAATTCAAAATTTATAAGAATATTCACTAAAATACAAAATTACTGTGATATTTTCAAAATAACTTAAATAGATCAATGGTTTATTAAAATTAGCCACACAATTTTAATACTGGGTAAGTCATACAAATTTTGAACATTAAAGCCATTTTGATTGGGTGGTGTGGCAAGTTGGGTGAGGGATAAGGGTTTGGTGTTGACTACATTATTGAGAAAATCACCAGTGACTTGCTCTAGAAAGTGTTTTTAAAAATTTTAGGACAAAAATATTTTGACCAAAAATGAACTTTATGTTATGCCACCATAAAATAAATTTTCTGTTAACCAGAAAGTGTTGTTTTCTGGTTGAAACCGGGACCTAGTGCCTGAATTTGGCACATTTACTTTGCTCCCAACTTCAGCATCTGAGCACTTGGAGGTAAAAGTGTAAGTCAAGATATTTAAATATATGTGCATGACCCAAATGATCTCTGTTTCTTGAGTTAAGTGCTGAATCTCTAATAAGATGAAATTTAACAGTATAAGTATTTAATCCTGCATTTGGCTATGGAAGACAATACAAAAACATATTTTAGGAGACATAGTTTAAAATACTACATATATAGTGTTTGGATTCTTATTGCATGCCTGGTTTCAAAGAGTAGTATATTCATCCAGACCTAAGATCATACATGATCTAAGGCAAACTATTGAAATCAATATTCATAAAAGTAAAATAACAGCATCTAGCTTCATAGGAATAGAAGATAGACGAAGGCAAATTTTGGCTGAATTTGGAAAATGATTTTTAATAATTGGAGGTATAGGGAAAAATTGAATTGACTACCTTATATGCATGCATTGAACAAATCAGAAGAGATGGCTGTCAGCATTGAGTCAGGAAAGAACATGAGAAAAACATGAGAACATAGATTCTGTTCCACAAATAACTCACAGTCACTAACAGAGAAAATGGACCAATAAACAAATTGCAATATTAATTTGATAAAGACTACAATAGAAGTAAAGATGGATGCCGTGAATAGCAAGAGTAATAAGTTTAAAGGGATGGGAAGTGGGCATTTGGGAAAGACTTCCTAAAATAACATCTAAACAGACCTTTTCCTCTCAGTTCAAAGACTATGTCTGATATATCCACTTGGCTATCTTTTACATACTTCAACCTTAATATAGCCAAATAGAGTGCCTGATTCTACCATTACCAATCATTCTTCTCTCAGTTTTTCCCATTTCTGTAAAATGTTAATGCAATTGCTCAAGCCAAACACCATTTTGAGCACCTCTTCACTCCTACATTAGTCCATAAGCAATTGCCCTTGATCACCTCACCAAAACATTTCTCTTAGTGTCCAATTCTTTTCATCATCACTGCCACCACTAATCTGAAACAGTATTTTTTGACCAAACTGGAAAAGTAGGTTTGAAAGTAACAGACATTGGGCAAAGTCATCACAGGTTCTGAATTACAGATGAGAACGAAAAACTGCACAAAATCAGCAACAGATCAGAATGTTGTGGTGAACTAACCCTTTGAGGATTTCAGAACTATCACGCATATAGTTTCTTCTAGAACAACAAAAAGAATTTATAGTTTCAGAAATCAAATTGAACAAATACATTTCAGGTAAGGGGAAGGGGAAAGAATCCAGAGAAAGATAGTGGATGGGGGAAGAATCCAGAGAAAGCTAATCTTATGCAAAATAAAGTAATATCTTGGAAGACAAGACCTGTAGGATGCCAACACACCAGAAAAAAACAGACACACAATAAATGGAAACTCTACCTTTAGTATTTAAAAATTAGCTGAAAGAAACAAAACATTTAGAGCTTTGAAACTGCATAAATCATAAAGTATACCCAAAAATGTATTTTCTTTAGACTCATATAAAATTAAGTCAATTATATCTGTACCCAAAGTTGAGTATTTTCCCCTCTTAATGAAATTTTAGGTTTAATGCTATTTTCTTTGCATAAAATAATTTTAAAAACAAAGCACTGTTTTACTACCACCATTGATATTAACCTAATCTCAACATTAGAAACATTTCCCATATGTAAAGATATTAACTGACATTAAGGTAAGTAAAATTTTAAAAGTCTTTAAGATGATTAATACATATGTTTATCTTTCATTGCCTATAGCTTATTCCTTTGAAGTAATCCCTAAAATATGGAGATGGTTATGGTTTTAGGGAGGACATACCTCACTGTCATGTATTAATCTATGTATTAAATTTCGTGTGTTAGAAAACACCCATAAAATTAGCACATTAAATAAGAAGTAAAGGTAGGTGAAGCCCAAACTTGTATGTTGAGAAAGGTCAACCAGGGTCATCACAATTACTGGGGTACACAGGAATGTGGGCAATGTCAGATCTCCAGGTCTCATGAAGAGGATGGTCTCCTGAAACAAGCAGATCTGGAGATCCCTACTGTCATTGTGCCCTACTATCATAAAGCTGACCTAGCTTGTGAGCACTCTGAGTTCCTAAGGCTGTGGTCATGTGGATGATGCCATCATGTGGACACCATAGTTATGTGGCAGACCCGGAACTGCTAGTCATGTCAGCACCTGAGCTCACGTGGTCTCTGTCTGAACCGGTTGCCACTATAGTCATGAGAAAGATCTAGCTCTTCACATCACTAGAGCATGGAGGGTTCCTAAAAACCCAGACCACCATGTGGATTCTTCCTTTCATGTGGCCCTTACTAGTTAGTGGCAGGTGGAAACCTTGGCCCTCACATCAGATAAATGAATGGCCTCTTGGGGTAGTGTGGATACTATGGACGTGTATGCCCCTGTGGTCACATGTCAGGCCCAGACATCTCCATCATGTGAAGACTGTGGGCTTCGGGACTCTGC